CTACCGATTTCTCTCCCAACATTGGCGTGTCGCCCCTAGGCTATTCTCTAGTGAGCCTGGTTTTATCCCCTTCCCCCTTGGAACCTAGTTTAAAGCCCTCTCGATGAGCCCCGCCAACTCATAGGCGAGAATCCTTTTTTCCCCTGTGAGACAGCTGAACTCCATCTGTCCCCAGCAGGCCCGGTGCCGTGTAGACCTCCCCATGACCAAAGAAGCCAAAATTCCGCCGATGGCACCAGCCCCTAAACCACGTGTTGATCCGATTTCTGTATGGCGATCTGTACAGACTCTGCGCTGATACTGCCATATGCTATTACATTGGGAGGAAGGGGAAAGGTAGTCTGTGGTTAGAAAAAAAGAGAACACCTCAAGTAATACTAATGTTAAGAAACGGCCTATGTGTGAGGTAACATCTACATTTATACCTGAGAGTAGGGTCAAGTTTTCTTAGAACTCTTCCCAAATGCTGCCATTTCGGTAGGATGCTGTTCACTCATGTATTTGTTATCAGGCCAAATGAGACAAATTTCTTATTTTGTGGCAGGTTGGCACCCAGTTCACTCGTGGGGTGTCTGGAGGAGAGCGGAAAAGAACCAATATTGGGATGGAGCTTATCACAGATCCTGCCATCTTGTTTTTGGATGAGCCAACTACAGGACTCGATGCCAGCACTGCTAATGCTGTCCTACTGCTACTAAAAAGGTGATGGCCTTGGAAACAGCTTCCTGTTTTCACCACTCAACTCTGTAACATTTCAGTTGTATTTGACTCAAATTACAGTTAGAATGAGGGAAATCAGACACATAATTGTTTACCAGCGAGCCAAGGCTGCAAGGTAGGAAAAAGGCTATATGAATTCTCACACTCCAAAGCAGCTGCTCACGGCAGTTCACAAAGCGCCTTGCACAAAGCATGTGCATGCCGGGACTGCAATTTGTCCGTGATCATTGTCACAGACAGCTTCATTTATTTTCATGTCTGCCTGGGCCAGAAAAGTGATAAAAACGCCTGTTGTGCAGTCTGGTGAGGTGATACATGGACAGTAGTTAGAACACAGCTAGCTGTTTCCCCATCACAAAATCTGAGACCTATCTTTGGGAAAACAAGCACAATACACTATTTGCAAATTCTACATCATTTTGCATTTACTACAAGCAAAGAGGACTCAAATGGCTCTCTCCAGAGCTTTCTATTTGCATCAAAATCTTCCCAGGACCTTCCCCTCCAACAACATTCCCAGTGAGAGGGAACCTTCAAACACTATAAATATGACCTAAATATTTTCTTTTTCTTTTTTTTTTCCTTTCCCGTCCCCTCTCTGGCACGCCAAGTTAATCAAACTTAACCAAGGCTTAACTGAACTTGCAAATTATCTTATCTAAATGCTGAATAGACTTGCAAAGCTTACACCTCTGTCGTTCTTCACTTCACACTCAGGATGGCAAAACAAGGAAAAACAATAATCTTCTCCATCCACCAGCCTCGGTACTCCATATTCCGACTGTTTGACAACCTGACACTGCTGGCCGCGGGAAGAGTGCTGTACCACGGGCCTGCTCAGCATGCCATCGAGTACTTCCAGTCTATTGGTGAGCACAACTCACAGCAGGGCCAACTGCAGCAACATCTTTAGTTTGCACTAACTTGAATAAAATGCCAATAGCGCTTGATCAGAATTGGACATAGTGTGTATTAGCAAGCCCGGGATTTTAACAGGCTAAGCATTTCTCCTGGTGTTTCACCTCTTGACCCATATGTGGGTTTGGATGAGAGTGCTGACCTCTAATCAACTGTTCCTGGGCGCGTCTTAATTAGACAAAGCCCAGGCTAGGGCTGAGAAGGGCACGTTGCCAGCTGTCGCCTTGCTTTCACTGATAGAGCTGTCTGGCAGTGCCGTTCATCTCTCGGGTAAGTATGGACCTTTTGAAGCCTGAAATGCTTATGGTGCAGGCTGCTCAACGGGCACAATGGTGTGGCTGTGTTCATGATGGCCATCCACAGCCTTCTGCTAGTCACACAACCACCGCTTAGGGCTTGTAATGCTGTCACCACAGGCTACGAATGTGAGCCATACAACAACCCTGCCGACTTTTTCCTGGACATCATTAATGGAGACTCCACTGCAGTGGCAATGAGCAAGACTGATGAAACTAACGCAGGTATGAAACCCAGAGCTGCGTGAAATTATCATAACATGTATTTTGCCAGAAGGTGTCCAGCACAACACAGAAAAATCACTTACAGGTGTCAAACAATCAATAACCGTGTTGTACAAGCGTACAGTTATTTGTATGCATGACAGCATTACGTACTGCTGATCCATGTTGCTTTAAAGAAAAAAAAAACCTACACTGTTCCTAAATCCTTTTTGTTTCTATGTGGAAAATAATTAGCATAAGCTGAAATAAGTACCAAATTCACATACAGCCCAACTATATAAAATATTCCTGTCTATGCAAGAATAGTTTGCCTCTCATAAATAGTTATTTAGTAATTTATCATTGCTATCCATTTCTTCATAAACTGACCTGTATACTTTTGTGTCACACTCAAATTACGAGATGTTAAAGGTGAAATAATACTTTCCTGTGTTGAAGTTATAATGTCTGGGAATATAAGAAACTGTTTTGTTACCTCTCAACACAGAGGAAGAGCTTATTTCATCTTCGAGGCAAACCAGCTGAAGTCCTGCAGAAACAGAGACAATAAACCAGGACAATTGTTCCAGTTAGGGACATAATTTGATGCAGTTATGACTTGTATTTTTTACCTAATGGAATGGTTTATCTGTTATGAAATTACTGTTTTCCTTCCTTTGAGTAGGGTGGGAAGAGGGCGTAGAGATAGGGGACCAGTGTTCTCCTGATGCTTCCCTGAAGTTGTGGTAAGGCAGAAATTATCCCCAAACTAACAAACCAAATCTCACCTACGTTCAGTAGCATGCTTTTTCATCCTGTCTGTTGCTACTCATTAATAGCACACTCTCTTTTCACATGAATGAAAAGAGAAATTAAATAATGAATATGCTATGTGCCCAAACACACTGTTTCACTATATCATTACCAAAGAAGCAACCAGGATTTTACAAAAATGCTGACTGTGTTCAGGGTCTGACTAATACTGTAGCTGGCAACACACATTGTATTTGTTATTGGAAAAGCCCACACTGGATTACAGTCGAGAAAAAAAGGAACTCCGTTTCTTTATGACAGACTCAAAAGTTTGACTGAAATAGACACATGCAGGATTACCTGGATCCAAAAGTCTGGGAAACAGACTGTGAAACAGATCACTTACTTACAGAAACCTGGGGGCGAAAAAAAATCACTTTTTGATTAAAAGTCAGGTTGCTGCCAGTTTGAAACTTCATCAGCAGACAAGGGTTTACCTAGTCAGTCTGCTGTGAAGCCGCTGCCTGTGGGACAGGTTGCACAGACAAACACAGAGGTTTGGTCTTATTTATACCGACTCTTTTGAATTGCATGCTATGAGACTGAGTGCAATGAATCACTGGAACTAAATGTGCATATTAATTCTTCTGGTTCGTTAGTAACTCTCCCACCCCAACATAACTCTCCTGGCTTAACTCCTAAACAATCTTCCCATCCCTTACAGAAACAGTCGTATTTCTTTTTAATCTTTTCAGCAGAGAGCACTGAAGAACGCACTGAACATGATAAAACCTTGGCTGAGAAGTTAGCAGAAGAATACTCCAACTCTGCCTACTACCAAGAAACAAAAGCAGTATTAGAGAATATTTCTTTGGGAAATAAAAAGAAAACAAAAGCAGTTTTACGACAAATCACGTATGCCAATTCCTTCCTTCATCAGCTGAAATGGGTGTCCAAGCGCACATTTAAAAATCTGGTAGGAAACCCTCAAGCTTCCATAGCTCAGGTAACGCTATTTGTATCTATGCTTTTGTGGTATACATTGAATTTATTCCACTTCTGTATTAGATAAGTCCGTGGGATGGTTTTGCCTCTTGATATTTTGACTGCAGTAAGCATCTGAAAAAAGAATGTTCAAGGTCTGGAAATCTGGTTCACTAGAAGGTGTCCTGAATGCTCCCAAATGAGGGACTATTCAGTAATTAATTCTGGACTACTGAAAGACTTTGGGAGGCAAGATCTTTTCCAGCAGGGTATTCTGCTGCTCCCGGCTCGGAGCAGATTATCTCCCAAGTAGTTTCACACATTTGCTCAAGAACATTCTTCAGATTCGACTCTAATTGTGCAGGCTTGGCACTGTGGGGTTTGGCCTCAAATCTTCTCCCCCGCCAGGGAAAGTTAACAGACTACACTTGCATACTTAATTAAACTTTAGTACACAGTGAAGTGCTGGCAGTTAGCTCAAGCGTAAAAATATTTTCAGAGTCTCGTAATGTGTGTGTCGTTTGGTCATTTGACTGTTCATAATGGTGATGATGTCTTCTGGAGAAGATGTGATGAAGACCACAATAGGGTCTAACACCTGCCACGGAAGAGGAACATGATCTACATGAATGGCCCTGTTAGTGCTGCTTCTTCAGAAGAGTCAACACCAAAAGTGTTGATTTCTTCAAAGCTACACATTGCCTTCAAAACTAAAGAATGCCTGGCTAACCTCTGCAGAACGACTAATCCTCACGAACCCCCTAGTTCACAAGCCAAACTCTGCAGTCCCAGCACCAGCAAAACTCCCATTGCAATGCTCAGCAATTCTAGAGGAACCAATAGAAAATTGGTCTCAAGCCAGGGGTATAAATTATCTTCATCATGGTTTATATAACAAGTGAACGAAGGGCCTGTGTGGAGGGGAAATGAGTCCAGAATCCCCGAGGTTAAAAGGCTTTGAGTACGTGTGTGTGTCTGTATGTTGATACTATGGAGATCCTTAATAATTGCTTTGTAAAAGCTTGGCCTTGTGACAAGAATTAGACTCTGAAGGATCTCGTAATACCCCAAGGTTAATGGTCCTGACTTGTTTCTCACAATCTTTTCTATCTCCCCACCCTCATTAGGGATGGATTTTACAAGCATTCTTTTAGGGGTACATGGTTCATTAAGCCTTTTTTCATTAATCTGCTCCAAATTGGTCTTGATATGATCCCTGCTTTCCACTGCAATTGGCTTAGGAGCTGAATTACCCCTGACATTTGCTCCTTTCGGCAGGAGCAGGATCTTAGTGATAGGGTACCATGGATCAAGGGGTTTATGGTATTATGATTCATGCATTGCTCACGCTTAAAAATGACAGAACTGCCTGATACCATCAGTTTTGCTGAGATTTTTGTCATTTGGATTTAGCATTAAAAAAGTGTGATGTACACACTTCAGTCTTTTAAATTATATCCTCGCGGCAGCTGGTATCTTTCCTATTTAAATTGTGTTACAGACTGCAAATATCAGCACACCTATAGCCTGATCATAGTACCTTGTACATGTTAAAAGCAATCCCATGAATAAGATGTGTGATAGCACCCAGCAATTACACACTGTGGAGCATGAAAGTAAACTGTCAACCCCAACCTGGCAGTCAGGAAAGACTGCTTTCGGTCATCGGTTGCCAAGCTCAAAGTAGCATTGAGATGGCTCCAGAGAAACCCCTGCAGAAGCACTGCACTGAAGAGCAGTGGTCAACCCTAGAGCTGAAGTTACCCTTGTCACTGACAGCAAATGGGGAGTCATGGACTGTCCCAAGGAGGATGAATGGTGGAGAGTATCAGTAGGGAGAGAGGAGAGATGTTGCAATACATCACCAATTAATGTAATCACAACATCCAAGAATGGCTGAAACAGTGGTGGGGGAAAGGAGCTTGGCTGAGGTGCATGTGATGCTGGGGTTCCTCTGGGGAAAGGTGTTATTCCCTCCTTCTAGCCTGCCCCACCAAGCCCCTGCTATCATCCTCCTCCCATTGCTGGTGCTAGCACCCTCCCGGCACCCCCAGAGCAGTTCCCTCAGGTCATAGATCTGGCCCGGCAGGAGGTCAGGGAAAAGCTGTGATACCACTTTTCAGGAACATGCCTCCTGCCAGTGCCACGACAGAAGAGCGGGCAGCAGCTGAAGCTCCTGTACCATCCCTCCTTTCTAGCCATCCTAGTGCCTTGCCCGCGTGAGGCAGCAGTGGCTGGCCGCTGCCGAGGGCAGGTGGCACTGGGGAGCTGCTGTGTCTCACAGATACCTCTTGAAGGACACCGTGGCGCAAGACTCAAAGCACTGCTGTGCTGCAGGTTGCTAACCGCCCCATCGACTCCCTTCCCAGGTTGAATAGCTTTTCTCCTTTCTGAAAACACTTCCTGTCAATCTACACTCACCTGCTACATATTTCAAAAAGACTACTGAAGCTTTGAAAGCAATGAGAATAAGACTTTTCCTCTTCTTTTCTTTTTTACATTTAGCTGTGTGTTACAGCTTTCCTGGGACTGGTGGTAGGTGCCATTTTCTTTGGACTTAAAGAGGATTCCGCTGGACTACAGAACAGGTTAGTCAGTTTAGGTAATGGATATCTAAATATTTGACAAAGCTCCCTCATCGTTGTGATAGGATAACGAACAGCTTGGAGGCTGAGAAGGAACCCGCAAGCTCTTTATGAAATATATCTACCTCTTTAAAGCAAATGCTTCCCTTCAGATCAGGAGGTAAGGCCAAGCCTACGTTAGTGACTTCGAAGTGAGGATGTTCTTCTGCCTCTAGGAAGGTCCCTGCAGAACTGAGAGGGGGATGCAGTTCTGCCCTGCCATGCTGTAACCTGGACAAGCAGTCCAAATGAAGTGAGTAACGCTACTTCTGTAAGATGACATTTTTCAGTGCCAGTCAGGTTGCTGAAAACGCTGAACAGCAGTCATCATATTAAAAAGGCTTAATTCAGCATGGCAGCATTTTAACTTCTTTGCAGAAAAGATTTCCCCAAGATAAAAAGATTAAAGATTGAAATATACAGACTTGGCTACATAAACCTAGGTAACTTTGATCTTGCAACTGCTTCTATATACACACTTGAGTTTACCTGCAGTAAGTCAGAAGGTGCATCTAAAGCTAGATTTTAAAATTATTCTGGTCTATGTATCATTTTGACAGCTGTATGTACATGACCTGACAAATGGTTTTGCAACTAAGAAAGTTCTGGGTTCTTAGTCTTGAAACACTTCATAGTATTTACTTTAAAATGGCCCAGTTTTAAATTGGATATGAAAGTATGATAGTAAAGCCTTAAATTTTAGTGGAAAAGGTGAAAACAACTTCTCACGTTGCTTATTCAGTTCCTCACAGTTTGCATCAGACAAATGCCCCACAGACTGAAAATTTTTAATGTGTCAGGAAATTACATTAAAAAAAAAGGGAAAATCAGTTCATTTTCTATCCTTTGACTGCATCAGAGAACACACTATCCTTGCATGCGAATAACAAATACTGCCTGTACCACATCTACTTCAGGCTTGTTACAGACTCAGACTTGTAGCCAACTTCCCATGGAATTCGGATGGGAGGTCACATACTACTGAGCTCCAGGCACTACGGCTGGATTTACATATGCTGTAGTGGAAACACTACATTTACATCACATTTTTAATAACAGCTTGCTGTTTTGCTTTTTGTAGAGTGGGTGCAATGTTCTTTCTGACCACCAACCAGTGTTTCAGCAGCATCTCAGCTATTGAACTCTTTGTTGTGGAAAAAAAGATATTTATGTAAGTAAAACATACAAAAAAGTTATGAGGGACTACTGTTAGAGAGTTAGTTTGTTTGCCCTGCTGTAGCTCATTTAAGTACACCTAGTGCAGAGTTTTCAAATTATTTCACTGTTAGTGCTCACTGCAAATGTACTCTTTTAGCCTATTAGTGTGTTGTCTGCAAATCCCCAAAACGGTACCTATGATTGCAAACAGCTCAGAGTTTAAAATTAGTAGCATATGTAGCAAAAAACCACTGAATACTCAATTTAGGTATTGATTAATAAGTTTGTGACTTGCTAGTGAGGACAGTAAATACTATCTAACTGGATTCTTTAAAGCTATGCAGATTACACTGTACAGAAAAGGAAAATTATTTCAACTTTACCCTCTCTCTCTGTTTTGACGACACGACACATACATTTACTAAAAATTATCTGCATATGAAAATGCCACCATTACTATAGTGTGTGGCTTACTGGACATTTGCATTACAGCCCAACCATGAAAGAACTCTTTTTTTCCACTTTGAGCTAGAATTCATTTGTCTCCAGGTGCAAATAACCTTACTGTTTTTTCATGATTAAATTTGTGATATGCTGTATATATCTCTGTGTTCCAGACATGAATATATCAGTGGGTACTACAGAGTATCTGCATATTTCATCTCAAAGCTAATGGCTGATTTAATACCCATGAGGACTATACCAAGCATCATCTTCAGCTGTATAATTTACTTCATGTTAGGCAAGTATGGTCTCCTACAGTCTCATTACAACCCCCTCAATAAATCAACAAGGCACTCGCATTTTATATATGTGCATGTATACACATGTATTTATATAGGCTAAAGCACTACATCGGCATGGCAGTGGTTACTGTGCTTGCTTTTAGCATGCCATGCTGTTTACAGAAAAGACACACTTTCAAAGATTTAAGTATTCATGTCAGAATCTGTGACATGTCTCATCTCCACCATCCCTAGAAGGAAGCGTGCCATAACCATTACTACATAGGATTGATTTATTCCTTTTCATTTATGGCTGTCCTAGCTTCCAGTGACTTTTACGAGACACCTTTTCCATCCCTGCAAGAACACCTATCAAACAAAAAGTTTTGTTTTAAGAACTTAATATTGTGTGAATTAATATCAGCTTGTTCTTTTTGGTGAAATGCCTCCTGGTTAGTGAGCAGACTTTGAAAATCGCTGGCACCAACTTCTACAACCCTAGAACACCTTCAAACGTCATCCTCAAAACATGTCCCAAGCAGACCATTTTCCTAGGGTAAAGTTTCAGATCATGACATCCTTTTGGGATGTCCCAAAAGCTTGAAAGGCAAGCAAAATTTAAAAATAATCACAGTTTGCTTTGGTCTGAGTTTTTTTCCCTAAGGAATAAGAAACAAGGTCGCATCAGCAAGAGGCTCTCCGAGTGTGAAACTGGAGTGAGATAGACCTTTCTACCAAATCCATAGCCACCCAAAGGCCACCAAGTCCATCAGGAGAGCTCTCTGCTGGAAACAAGTGAAGTGCTGTACAACTGCTCATGGAAGTGCACTACAAATTTCTCCTTTGATAGACAACTTGAAGCCACAGCAAAGCCTTCACCTTAGACTGTATGGAGTACAGTACTGTAACTTCTACCCATTCTGCTATTTCCAGTGTTACTGCAGTTACAGGCACACTACTTATTCATCCTGTCCTCCGTTGACAGGGCATACACATACGGGCTGTCACAAGTCCCACTGCAGTCTTGGGTCTCAGTGACATAGCCTATGTTGTCAGACAAAATGTATTTTGTAGGCAGGATACACTACCTGAAGGATAGTGTTCAGGTTATGGTAGAGCTTTTGGCAGGATCATACTGAAACCCTTCTTGTTTTGATCTTTAAGGTTTGAAACCAACAGTAGAAGCCTTCTTTACAATGATGTTTACCCTTATGATGGTGTCCTACACAGCCACTTCTATGGCACTAGCCATTGCAGCAGGACAGAGCGTGGTCGCTGTAGCAAACCTGCTCATGACTATCGCATTTGTTTTTATGATTGTGAGTAGCACTATTCAGTTTTATAGATTGAATCCTGAAATCCTAGAAATGCTGAAATCTAAAAATCCTACCAGCACAGTGTTCAGCTGAATTCTGCAAAAAGACTGTGGGGTCAAGCATGTTGAATATCCTGATTTGTCTGATTTGAATATTCTGATACTGTGGTGTTGAATATTCTGATTTGTCCTTTTATCTTACAAGAACCGGGGGGCCAAGGGCCTAGGTGTGAGGGGGAGGGAGAGTGGTTCCTCTGCCCTCTTCTCTGTGGCTCTGGCAGCCAGTGTACTGCCTGGAAAGCAGAAAAGTGGCCTAGAGCTGCATTTCGTTCACTCTCCTTTAGCTTTGCCAAAGACAAATTTGGCTGGCTGAGGACATGACTCACAGCCTCCTGCTCTCTGAGACCACTACTGTAGTTACCCTCCTCAGCTGCAGAGCCAACCATCGGGCATGTTAGAACTGGACAACACACAAACAGCTACAGTTAGAAGACAGGCACCATAAACAATGAGGCAGCACTGAACCAACAGCCAAAACCCACATTGCCTCAGACTCAGGGCACACAAGCAAAACAGTGCACACCTCCAGCAGCTCCACACACCCGAGTAACAGCAGTTCATGTGAACCCATGAGGGACCCACAGACGGGACGCATCTGGGTTTAATGCATGGGTGAAAGCGTTCCCCGTTACTCATTCTGGGAGAAGGACCACATGGGTTATGGGCCAAAGCTGGGTAACAAAAATTATTCCTTCCCTCTTCCCTGTTCTCCCACTGGAAGAGTTTCTTCCTCTAGAAATGCCTTCCCACCTGTTTTTAATCTGAAGAAGCAGAGTCAAGAGCTAAGGAAGAACACATGGTAACAGCATGTAATTTGTGATTTGTTTTTTTGTTGTTGTGTTGTGGCTTTTTTGTAATCCTTGCCTCTAGATTTTCTCTGGGTTGCTGGTGAATCTCACAAGCATCATGTCCTGGCTCTCCTGGCTCAAATATTTTAGCATCCCTCGATACGGAATGACAGTAAGTGCTGTATTTTCCTATATACAGACTTGGAAAAAATTTGCTAGAAAGGAATTTCTTTACTCAAGATAAAGAAAACTCCAAACTTTATGGGCTAATGAGCAAAAGCTAAGCTAATTAAATACAGCAACCTCAGAACATAGTGCAGTATCTTGAAACAAGAAGGGCTTCTCATCAGTCAGCACCCACTGCTGTTTAGAAGAGCTCATTTCTGTAACTTGGAAACACCTCATATGAGAGACACTGAACACACTGAACAACTACATCCACTGGAATGCAGCTGGACAAAAACAATACAGAGTAAAGAACAACGTTATCCCTAAAAACCAATTCTTCTCTTTTCCATCAATCAGACAAAAACTTGTCAAGCCAAAACTTTTGTCCTAATTTTTGATAATTTAAGCCAGGGTGATGTTTCACAGAGAAATCTGGGCTTTAATATGCCTATGCAGAAATAGTCTAGCCTGGGGGAGGTGTTAAAGCCTGGTGAGGTGCTTGCATTAAGGGTGTGGACTGCATACATTCCTTTCTGAAAAGAAAAAGAACCGTACTGCTCAGTTAAAAAATGGGGATTTGGCCAAAATAATAAATAGTGATACCATCACGTTTTTAGAATAAATTTGAACTGAATTATCTCTCATCTTGTTAATGTATCATTCCTTTACCTACTAATTTCTATTGTCATTGTTTCTTTTATTTTAAAAGGCTTTACAAATCAATGAATTGACTGGTCTGAACTTTTGCAGCAGCAGTAACAACACAAATTTAACCAGCAACGATAACTATCAACAGATAAACCAGCCGTAAGTATTTTGGTACATTAAAATGAATCTCACCACCAGTGACTTACGAAGTCCTACAGCATTAGTCTGTTTGTGAGACACTCACTGATGACCAGCAGCATCGGTGAGTTTTTATATGGAAAATGAATTTTTGACTGGGTTTTTGCATTCTGTCTGCAGAAAATACTCTGCTTATTGTCATATTTAATATTTATAACACTAGAAATATCTGGCATTATGCTTCTCACTTTTCTTTAAACTGTGTTTACTGAAACACATACATACTACAATTACACAGCCTCACAAAATCCATTTCAGCTTCCTATAGGAAACTGATTGTAGCTACAAGAAAAACAAATTTACAAATAGAAAATAAAATAGTAACATATAGCTGGTGTTTGCCTGGCCTACTATAGACATGAAATCACACTACAACTTCTAGGGATCTTCCTAGATACTTCAAACTGACTAAGTTTATAAATGTGTGTGTATTTATCTGTAGGTGGTGTACCGGAGATGAGTATCTGAAAAATCAAGGCATTGTTGCGAGTAGCTGGGGCCTGTGGCAGAACCACCTGGCTCTTGCGTGCATGTCAGTAATATTCCTTACCATTGCATACCTGAAACTGCACTTCATGAAGAAGTTCTCTTAAAACCAGAATGAAAAATGCAATTCCCACTGTTCAGTAGTTTGATAAACTGACTGTGCAACTAACTTGATTCTTTTTTGAGACTTTAGTTTGTACTTTTGTTTATGATTACACAAGTCAACAATGTGATGCCATCCTTGTATGTTGAATACTTAGTATTGATGTACTTTGCTGAAATGTCTAGCATGCCTCAGTTCTCTTTGCCATAAAAAGTATACAACTATTCATTTCTTCAAGAGACTACTCAGTCTTTCTGCATGTTCTACCTACGAATTTGTTAAACAATGAAACTAATATTTAATGGCTTAACCTGAAAAAGAAAAGGTAACATACTGTAATTAGCACCTCCATTCACTGGCAAGTAATTCAGTCCAAAGTGATGCTTATCAGGACACCAATGCAGTCTCAACTGCTAATGTGGTCACAGTCTATGTGAGACGGCGACAAAAACATCCTCTCCATTCCAGTGCATGTCTCATGCCCGTTTCTATCTGGGAATCATTACTGCTCTAGAGTGTACTTGATCGATGCCATCAAGTGTTTTCTTACCAAGCTTGAGTGGTAGAAACACTATTTTTTAAATAAAGGTGACTGTGTACTTTCTTACTCTGCCAGTTTGCATAATCCTTGTACTGAAATTTCCATTTTCTCTGCGAAACTGCAAGTCATCTTCACTGTCCTGTTATTGCTGCTCTCGTGAGTTCTTAGTCTTTTTTATGGTGAACAATTTCAAGTGTACAACTAATCGGGATGGTACCAGACTTGTAAGAGTCCGCATATTGCAGTAACCCTTTTCCAGCAGGCCAGCTTTTGCCCTGGCCATACACAGCAATGGTAGTTCATCTCCTTCCACTTGGTAGAGATGAGCAGCACTTCCAACAAGGATCTCTGCCCTTATCACTCCCCATTATTAATTAATGCAATAAAATTTGCTCTATTTTAAAGACCTGTTGCGTAATTTTGGCTGTTGCCTATGGACTCTCCTGGACGCTCACAAGTCCATGGGGCCGG